AGGGCTCATCAAACATATTTCATAGATGATCTTATTGTTAGGCTTTTGCAAGGTGAACTATTTAAATTATCGAGATAAACTGTGGTATTTATTGAATTCAAACAATACATCTCTTGTTGAATTACTAGCAACTAGAGAAAAACTTAACCCATTATTGTATAATCTTCAAATACACACTTATTTTGTAAGAAATATACAATTATCTTAATGGTGTTAACAACTACACTAACGATTAGGGGTGAAGATGTGCTCGATAACCTAGTAAGCCTGTCCATACCGCCCATAATTGATAGGGTTTAAAATTATAGTTTAATCCCTGGTTTGGGTATGACTTATTTAGTGATTTTTTAAACTTATTACAAAAATAGGTATAGGAAAATAAAGAGATAATGTGATAACTTATAATCAATAAATAATTTATTTAGTTAGTTGTCAAACCAAGTTGGAAATTGGAATTTTTTTCAAAAATCAGATCATAATGTAGATCCTGTTAAGCTTACCCTATTCACGAATTATATTATAAAATATATTTATGTAGATGTATATATTTATGTGTATATTTTATAGTATTTGATATTGTTTTTAATAAACATAAATGATGCATTACTAGTAATGGAATATCGTTTTGAAAATTTGAACTACTAACCTTGATGTTAGAATGTAACAAAATTCTTTTATAATTAGCATAGGACTAGACTTGAACTCTCTTGGATGTTTTTTTTTTTTTTTCCTTTTTAATAACTCGATATCTAGTTAGTTTGTGTGCACATTTATTACTATCAAATTTTAAAATTAACGAATAAATCAATTTGTGTTCACCTCTTGAGATTTTAAAATTAACGATCGGATAAATAGTAAAAGATTCTTTAAAGTGATTCAAACTCAAGATTTAAAATCTTATGATAAAGTTTTTTAAACCCAACTTAATCCCTTAATGTTTACTTTTAGATGGACTTAAAAATAAAATATAAAGTTAATATTGAACGGACCCAACTCAGCTCAACCCGCCCATGTCCCCCTCAACCTCCATTAAACTTATCATCTTATGATAAAAGATAATAATAATAATAATTTTATAAAGACAAGTGAAAGTGTTGCATATATAATCAGAATGGATCCAAAATGTAAGGACAAATGATGCGAACCTCAGCCGGCACCCAAAGGAATGGAGTGACTTAAATTTTAATTGCATTACATTATATTCAATATATTTGATTTCAGTTTTTTAAATTTAGTTTTTAAAAATTAAATTTTTATTTTTTATAATTTTTTTATTTTTAATGAATATTTTTAAAATTTTAAGTAATTTTTTTTTATCAATGACTCTGATGTAAATAAATTATACTTTATTTTATTTTACTTTTACGAAATATTTAATTAAACATTTAAAGTTTTTCTCATTTATAATTAAATAATACTAATATAAAATTTAAGTGATAACTTAAATTTTTTGGTTGTTACACTAAGCAAAATTATTTACTTAATTATCTTTGTAATTATATAGTAGTTAAATTTTTATCTTTTTTTTGTAATTAACATATTAACACATAATTATATTGTCATTAATTATTTTTATTTTTTGTTTTCAAATATTTCCCGAGTAGAAGTTTGCTTCTTGTGGAATGTATACCTATGAAGAATGCGACTAACTTTCGTTTTTGTTACCCATGGAGAATGATGAAGAAAATTTTTGTTTTTGGTTTATGTTATTTTGAATTGGATCACTTGAATAATTTCGGTTTGGTTTACAGTTCCAAAAAATTTTATTTACAAGAATAAATTGTTAATATTAGCAAAATAATTACTCAAACTAATTATATTTAACTCATGATAAAAACTAATAATATTAAGGCATTACTTAATATGACATATCTATACCATCCTAATATCATTAAAATTATAAAAAACCAATTAATAAAAATAAAACTTGATATTATATATATATATATATATATATCTTTTAAAATTCGGTTCGGCTCGGTTCGAACCGCGATTTTTTTATAAAATCCATTAACCGAATCGTTTTTACAGTTCTCATATTTTTTAATCCGAAACCGAACCAATTCTGAATAGAACCGAACCAAACTGTATGATTCGGTCTGGTTCGGTCCGGATTACTGATTTGAATGGATTTTTGAATAGCCCTAACCAAAACCAAACAAGTTAACTCCCGTTTGGAAAGTGGGTTTGGCTTTTTGATTTTTTTGATTATTTTAGCCTGGGCTAAAAAGTTTGGTTTGGGAAAGACTTTTTAATTTTTTAATTTTTTTTATAAAAAAAGAGTGTAATAATTATAAATTAAATGTGATATTTTATTTATTGGGATTAAAATAATATATTTTATCTTTTATAGTTAAAATAAGTTTAAAAAAAACCTTGCCAAACGGAAGGTTAACTGGCATCCATCCTATCTCTCTCTCTCTCTCTCTCTTTTCTTTTCATTTTTTATTTATTCTTCTCTAATAATTTGCTTTTTTATTTTTTTATTTGTATTATCTTCCATCTTCGCTACACAACAAACAGAGAAAAGGACACAAAGGAGAGAGAGAAAGTATTGAACAAGCGCGGGTAGAGAGCGCGTGAGCTTGGCAGTTAAACTCGTTGTTTGTGGATAAAAATAACTCTCTCTCTTGTTTTTTTTGGGGTCAGCTTTTTCTACAAAAGGCGTAAAAAACCTGAAGCCAATAAACTGTCACTACTTTTTTATTTTTTTATTTTTTTCTTTTCTTTTTTAACTTTTTTGAGATTGGACTGTGGTATATGTATGGTATATATAGGCATGCCCTAGAGTTGGTATGTACGAAGTACGAAGTTCTCTATTTTATTGTTATTGCTATGAAGGCCAATTTGTTTTCTAGTTTTGCACATTTGCCCTCTTACATTTTATAAAACACCCAAAATTTCAACATTTTAGTTTTCATTCTAATGCAATATTATTATCTCCTTGTAAATTTTCAAGAACAAAATGCTAGGGAGATTGGCACCCCTTCATCTTTCCTTAATTTTATTTTGAGTTTTTTTTACTATTTTCATAAATATAAGAATATTTCCATCTCTTTCCTTATATTACTTCCTTACTCAAAATAAAGAGTTTTTCTGTCAAAAGACATCCTAGCAGTTCCCCTATCCAACCTTCCAAATATAAGTATTGCTATAATGACTTCTTATTTGTAGAGAGTCCCTGTAACTCCTTTAAATTTGATAAATTCTTATTTTATTTCGTGTTGAAAGCGCAAAGCATATCTCTCCGGACGTCTCTCCGGACATCTCATTGGATGTCCCAGGAGAATCTTGGAGCTAAAGAAGAAAAATATCTAAAATTAATTTGATCGATCGACCGCCTAGTCGTCCGGCTGGTCAACCGCCCCTGTCTTCCTCTGCTCATTCTGATATGTTGTTGTATGTACTATTGCATTTGTTTTTATTATTTTATTATTAAAAAATATTTAAATTTAAAAGTAATTAAAAATATTATTTTAATAGAATAGAGAAAGAATGGAGTTTATTGGGAGAAGTAGATGAAAATGTGATTCCTAAAATAAAGAATGAATTTTTTAATAATATTTTAAGGTAAAATTTAAATAGTTTAATAAGAATGCGCTAAGATCCAAAGGCATACATGTAAGTTGGTTGACTCACCCAGGGGCATTTATGCAAAATTCAACCAAGCCAATAATAAGTAGAAGGCAAAACCATAAAAGACCGGTGGTGTTTGGGAAGTCTTGAATTTGGGGTTTTTTTTATTTTTTTCACAAAAAGACAAACTTTTTACAAAATAAAAAAAAACACATCCAAACAAAATATCACATTTAACCCTATAATCATTTTATTTTTTCTCTCACAAACATCACATCCAATCACAAAAAAACCCAATTATCTTTTCAAATACAAAAAAAAAAAAAAAAATTCAATAATATCCTACAACTAAAAACACTTACATAAAAACTCACTTTCCAAACATCCACTATGTAGTGAATAGTTAATAGCACAAAAAGAAGTAGAAGGGGGGTTCTTGCGCAAATACTCACAAATCACACACAAAATCCAAACAAAAAGAAAGCGAGTACAACTAAAAAAAACTACTAAAAAAATAAAAAGAAAGCTTTTTTCTGTAGAAAACTCCCAAATAATGGAGGAGAAGTGTGGAGAGCCATTGGATTTTGCAGATGAGGGCAGAGAGACTCATGGAGAATCCGAATGCACAGATAGGAGAGAGAGAGAAACAAAGAAAAAAAAAATGAAAGAGAAAGAGGGAGAGAGACATACACAGATAGGTGAGTGAGTGAGTGTGTACTGTATGTGGACTCTCTGGCCCGTTTGTTTTGGGTTATAGGGAGGGTATTGGAACTAGTAATACCAAGTATTACTAAAATTCCTGTTTGTTTGTAGAGAAAGCCTTGGGACTATTAGTCCCTTGGTATTGCTAATACCCTTGGAAAGGGGATTGGTAAGGAAGAGGTAGAAATGGTATTAGAAAATAGTGAGGGGATTAGAAATTTTTTTTATTTTTTATATATTGAGAATTTTTTTAAAATATAATGTTTAATTTTTTATATTTTTTTATTTGTTTTGTTATTTTATATAAAAATAATTTAACAATTCCTCGTTATTAATCCCCTCACTATCAATCCCCTCACTATTAATCCCCTCATTATCAATCCCCTCCACTGCTCTTTGTCACCCAATTTTAATTTTGGACAAATTACAAACCCTCCTTTGGTGAAAATATAATTTTTTTTTTAAATTTGAGAAATTACATTTCGTTCTCCGAGGTTTATATTTTTATAACAAATTGCTATTTGAGATTTTTATTTTCATACGGATTTTCTCCTAATTTTTCTTAATTTATTATGAAAATTTGACCCTCAAAAAATAATTTGTAATTTTTTAAATCTCAAAAAAAAATTATATTTTTACCAAATCTTAAGGGTGTTTGTAATTTATCCTTTAATTTTTAAAAAAAAAACAAAAACAATTTACTACTAGTACATAAAAACTACAACACTTTCCCTTTTCCTCTCCCCTCCCACTTCCTTCCCTTCCCCTCTCTCTCATCAAATTATAAAATCTTTTGATTCTCTCTCTCTAAACTCCCCCATCTTCAATCCCATGATCTGAAGATACAGATTCGATCCTTTATATTATTATCAAAGTCCCCCCCTACAGATCGGAGAGATAGCGACCCGCATGAGAGAGGATCGCTCCGATATGTCCGAGGACGATGACACGCCGGATCTCGCCGCCGTCTCCACCATCGAAACGTCGTCGTCTAACCGGCCCCGCGGCTGCTCTGCCGACGGCGAGTACGTGTCGCCTTACCCGGATCAAGTCCTCGAGAACGTTCTAGAAAACGTGCTTTTGTTCCTCACCAATCGCCGAGACAGAAACGCAGTCTCCCTGGTGTGCAAGGCTTGGTACCATGTGGAGGCGCTCACCCGATCGGAGCTCTTCATCGGCAACTGCTACGCTGTGTCGCCCCGCCGCGTCGCCGAGCGGTTCCGCCGGGTGAGGGCGGTGACGGTGAAGGGGAAGCCGAGGTTCGCCGACTTCAACCTCATGCCTCCCAATTGGGGTGCGCACTTCACCCCTTGGGTCACTGCCATGGCATACTCTTATCGTGCGCTGGAGAAGCTCTGCCTCAAGCGTATGTCTGTGAAGGACGAAGATCTGGAGCTCCTCGCTCATTTCCCTTGCTTCAAGGAGCTCGTTCTTGTCTGTTGTGATGGCTTCGGTACCAGTGGCCTCGCTGTCGTTGCTAGCAAGTGCAGGTCAGTGTTTACAATACGTAATTTCAACATTTGAGGTTTTCAATTTCGTATTCGAATTGTCAGTTAGATCTGTTCCTATTGCTGTTTTTGTAATCTGGAATTCGAATTTCTCTGATCTGATTTGTAATTTTTGGAAAAGCTTTTTATCTATTATGCCTTTTGATCTGTGTTAATTGTTCTGAATCAAGTTTCTTGAACAAATCTGAACACTAAACTATACATTATGGCTTTGCTTGGAACTAATTAGATGGTGAACTGAAGAAAAAAAAAATACTATAGTGCTTGCTTTACATATAGCTGAATGAAGCTAAATGGATTGGTTGAAAATTAATTTAGGTAAACTTTGCAATGGGAAAAGATTTATTTATTTATTATGAACTGATTTTATCTCAGGCAACTTCGAGTGCTTGATCTGATTGAGGATGAGGTTACGGATGATGAGGTGGATTGGGTTTCTTGTTTCCCGGAGGGTGAAACTTGTCTTGAGTCTCTAATTTTTGACTGTGTGGAATGCGCTATAAATTTCGAGGAGTTGGAGCGACTGGTGGCGAGATCTCCTTATTTGAAGAAACTTAGGTTGAACAGATATGTTAACATTGGGCAGCTTTACCGTCTGATGATTCGAGCTCCAAACCTCACACATCTTGGTACCGGGTCATTTAGCCCTTCAGAGAATGTTGCTCAAAGTGATCAGGAACCAGATTACGTCTCTGCTTTTGATTCTTGCAAGTCGCTAGTTTGTCTCTCGGGATTTAGGGAAATTATAGCGGATTATCTGCCTGCAATCTACCCAGTCTGTGTTAACCTCACCTCTCTAAATTTTAGTTATGCCAACATCAATGCAGAACAACTTAGACCAGTCATACGCCACTGCCATAAACTCCAGATTTTTTGGGTACATGAGTTGTTTTGTTTGTTTTTAGGTTTTAATTAATTTTGTGACTTTTAGGTTTCAGTCGTGAAGTTTACTTTCTATGTCTGTCTGCAGGTGCTTGATTCGGTATGTGATGAAGGACTTCAAGCAGTGGCTGCAACATGTAAGGATCTCCGTGAGCTTCGGGTGTTCCCTATCCATGCTCGGGAGGATATTGAGGGCCCTGTTTCTGAGACAGGTCTCCAAGCAATTTCCGAGGGGTGTAACAGGCTGCAGTCAATTTTATATTTCTGTCAGCGAATGACAAATGCCGCAGTGGTAGCCATGTCAAAGAACTGTCCTGATCTTGTGGTGTTCCGTCTTTGTATAATGGGGCGACATCGGCCTGATCACGTTACTGGAGAACCCATGGATGCAGGTTTTGGAGCCATTGTTCAGAACTGTAAGAAACTTACTCGACTTGCTATATCTGGGTTACTAACTGATAAGGCTTTTAGTTACATTGGACAATACGGGAAACTGGTTAGGACCTTGTCTGTTGCTTTTGCTGGGGACAGTGATACGGGGCTGAAATATGTGCTTGAGGGCTGCCCTAGGTTACAGAAGCTTGAGATCAGAGATAGTCCCTTTGGAGATTCGGCTTTGCGTTCTGGTTTGCATCACTATTACAATATGAGGTTTCTCTGGATGTCTTCATGTAGGTTAAGTCACCGAGGCTGCAAGGAGATTGCACAACAAATGCCCCACCTGGTGGTGGAAGTGATCAATGGGGAGGATCAGCCAGAAGAGAGGAGTGCTGAATTGGTTGACACATTATACATGTATAGGTCCCTTGAAGGGCCAAGGGCTGATGCACCGAGATTTGTGACAATCCTGTAAACTCACACGTGTGAAAATGTTCCATCTGTTCTTACAGTGGCTTCTGAGGAAGTTATAAACTCTATTTGTGGGAAATTTGAATGACAGTTGGTTGCTTTTAACCCACAAGTTGTTGTAAACGGGAATGCCACTCATGTTCTTGACTTGAGCTATTGGAATGGCATTCAAAGCAAAAGAGCTCTCTGAAGGACCTGTTTACTTTATGCTTTGGTTCTTCCGGATGGTATAGAGAAGGGGTCTTAATGTTGAAGATGAATCTCTCTCTGCAGGGGCTCAGCCATCCAATGTTGTTGTGTTGGTACGCATTTAAATTTTATGTTTCTTTTCTGCTTTCATATTCATTTTCATAAATGAAGGCTTCTAGAGGTTAGTGAGGGAGGAGGGAATATTGAGCTGCATTTAAAGATTGATTAGATATTTATTATATAACACTCGATCAAATTGGTACCGAGTACCCTCATGATTGGAGATTTGAGACATTGAAAATTCAAGAAACTATTTGTTTGGGGCCTCAGATGCGAAAGATCAAGTTTTCTCTCTTTTAGTAGAATTGAAGTAATGCTTATTTTTATTGGAATGTTAAAGCTGTAGCTGGTGAGAACTAATGCCCAGAAGAATGATACATCTTTCTCTCTCTAGAAAGTAAGTTTGTTTTTTTCAGATATTATTATGTTGTTCTTAGAACCTGACTGTTTGAATTTATTGTTATTGCTGTTGTTATTGTTATTGTGAGCAAAAATATATGTTGAGATGGGTAATAAATGCCAAATATATGCATGGACCATATGAGTAAGTGGGAGTGTCTTGCCTTTTTCTTGAATGAGAGTGATCAGTTTGATAGTGAGACCCATTAATGATGTGTGGAAAGTATTTGTACAAGTACACATTGCAGGACCCTCCGTGTGGGGTCCCCTCCCATTCATGAGAGATGAGTAAGGTGTACCCAATTTTATTTTATTTTTTTTATTTTTCTCTTAAGCTGTGGAGGGTCCTGATTCTCTCCCACATGCATCTTTAGGGTAACCCTCCACAAAGGGAACAGAATCGTATAAAGTCCATAGATTTAGGGACTGCACCTTTATGATGATTTGTTATTTTGATCTTTTGGATAGAGGTTGGGCTTTTTAGCCTACTGCAATGTTATCTGCTACTCCCCTAGCATTCTTGATTTGTTTTGAGTATTATCATATCCTATTCCATCCATTGTTGGTGAGTGGGACCCTATCATTTTGATGATTTGTCACACACACCTGCATTATAAAGCTAGCCAACTCCTCCCAAACCCCAAAGCTCTCTTTCTCCCTCCCTCTCTCTGGAGTAATAATTAGCAATCTGCTTTTATTTTTGTTTGTTTTCTCTCTCCAGATGCTAAATGTTATATCAAAATATTTCAAAAAGTTACCAATTTGAATGGTTGAACTTTTTATATGTTTGAAAGTTAATAAAGTGGAAGTTAAAAATAATTTTCTTCTTGTTTCTCAATAATCGTTTTTTTAGTTTAAGTTAATAATATTAAGTTGTAAGGAGATGATACATCAAAAATATTTACATAAATTTTCAAAATGAGTTGTAAACAGGTTGTACCAAAACTATACCTTTGTGTAATGTGGGTTGTATGCTAAATTATCTTGATCCTTACGTTTTTTAAAGTCTGAACAATTTTCCATGATTTTGATTTTAAAATTTTGGAATTCCTTTTTCTTTTTCTTTTTTCTTTTCTTTTTTTTTATATAAAGTACATAGCATCTGATGAAAAAAGCAAAGCTTATCATCAAAGTGGGATCTGATTAATCCATAAGTGATGGGAAGCAAGTTTGCATTTTGCTTCTGTCTGACCATTTGTAGGTGAAGCTGGACCAAACGCAATGATTTCTCCTCTTGCCTCCAAGCTCGCTCTCTCTCTCTCTCTCTCTCTCTCTCACACACACACACACACGCACACGCACACGCACACGCACATATCAATGTCATTTGGGTCGGATGATGCAGCAAGGGAGGGCCTCCCTCCCACTGAATGGGACCAAGAATATAGGAATAAGAGGCTATGTTTGGTTTAGTTTTGAAATTATGATTTGAATGTGGAATTGTAATTTAAGTGTAAAATTATGTGTTTAGTTTTGAAAAAAGAAAAATGGTTTGGTTATGAGTTTTGAGTTTTTGAATTTTGAGTTGTATTTTGAAATTTTTTAAATTTATTTTTTAAAAATATTAAAAAATGTTTTAATTTTTTTTAATTCTAAGTATATAATTTTTATTTAAATATTTTTTATTTTTTTATTTTAAATATTTTATTTTATTTTGTAAATATTTTAATTTTTTTAATTTTAATATTTTAAACTTAAATCACAACTCTACACTTAAATCGTAACCAAATATATAATTTAAAACTCAATTTAAAAATTATTTTTAAAATTCATAATCAAACACATAATTTGAAACTTTATACTATTAAAATTCTACACTCACATTATAACAAACACAATAAAAAACACTCAAATTTTTATTTTTGTGTTTCGTTTTTTTTTTTCTTGAATAATCTTTTTATTTTTGTTAAGATTTCCAACACAGTTGATGAGGAAAAAAAAATGAATTAACTAATGAGTAATGTTACGGATATCAAAAACACTAACCAAATTTCAATAAAACACTCGCATAGATATTGGATCCACACTCATGTGTTTAGTAGAATTTTTGATGCAATATTTAAGCTACATTTGGTTTGGTTTTAAATTATGATTTGACTGTGAAGTTGTGATTTAAGTGTGGAATTATGAGTTGAGTTTTGGGGAAAAAAAAAAAATTTTTGTTTGGTTATGAGCTTGAAAAGAGTTTTGCGAAGAATTTTTAAATTTTGAAAAGAGTTTTGAGTTGTACTTTGAATTTTGATTTTTTGAATTTTGAGTTGTATTTTAAAAAATTTTAGATTTATTTTTTTTAAATACTAAAAAATGTTTAAGAATATTTTATTTTTTATTTTTAATATATTATTTTTATTTAAATATTTTTAATTTTTTAATTTTAAATATTTTATTTTATTTTGTAAATATTTTAATTTTTTTAATTTTAATATTTTAAACTCCACACTTAAATCGTAATCAAACATATAATTCAAAACTAATTTAAAAACTATTTTCAAAATTTATAACCAAACACATAATTTGAAACTCCACACTCAAATCGTAACCAAATATATAACAAAAAAATTAAAATATTTTAAAATATATTTATAAAATAAAAAACGTATTTAAAATAAAAATTATATATTTAAAATAAAAAATAAATTTTTAAAATTTTTTAATACTTAATTAAAATATTTTTAAAAAATACAGTACACAAATGTATGAAATATAGTGCATATTAAAATAAATAAATAAATATTTAAAATATAAAATATTTATCCTAAAAAAATAAAATTAAGAAATCTTTTAAATATTTAAAAAATAATAATTTCAAAAAATTTCAAAATATAATACAAAATTCTTTTCAAAATTCATAACCAAACAAATTTTCTCTTTTTAAAACTCAAAATTCAAAACACGATTTCACACTCTAATCATAATTCTAAAAATAATTTTAAAAAATAAAATAAAATAATATATTTTTTAAATAGAGTTTTGAATTGAATTTCGAGTTGTGTATTTGGTTAAAAGTTTTAAAATAATTTTTGAATTGAGTTTTAAATAATTTTAAATTGTGTGTTTAGTTATGAATTTAAAAAGAAAAAATTAATTTTTTTTTATTAAAATCATAATTTCAAAAGAACCAAACGCAGCAGTGTTTGGTCCAAAAGAAAATTGGTGCATGGTTTTATCCATATTGCTTACGGTGAGCACGGCCGCACACAATTCAGTGTTTTTTTTCCACTTATATTCTCAAAATTGGACCAAACCCATCCTTGTCTTCAAGGGAAAGCACAGTGAAAAAGTGAGGTTTGAGAGTGATGAGTACATAATATTTGTTGAAAATGACCTCACTATAACGACATTTAAACTCCCAAACATCTTTCAATCCTAGCCGTCCAATTCCCATTTATGTTTTCATCTTCATTAAATTAAGACCTAGAGTTTATTTTGGAAACATGATTAAAAGTTATTTTTTGACTTTTAATTTATTTTCGGTCACATTATCTTCTTATTTTTTTTACACATTTTTTAAAAAAAAGTTAAAAAATGTCAAAAAATTAATTTTTAAGCAACTTTTCAAAACAACCCATAGAGTTTGGTTAGATGTATTAAAATCCAAAAAAAAAACCCCTTAATTTCATCTAAAGAAATTTAACCATTCACCAAGCATTTTTTTGAATCTTTTTTCTTGAGAATAATATTGTGCCTGAAATTATTTTGTACACGATCATATGGCTAAAATCATTAAATGATATTATTTTTTGTAATATGTGATATTTAAGTAAGATAAGAAAATAAGAATGTTAGAGACCTACACTTTTAGACTCACAAATTCGTCCACAATAAGGTGACAAATGAGTTAGGCCTTATATATAACAAATCAAAAGTTGACACATCATACCATATTATTATGGTCAAATTGTAGAAATTTTTATTTTGTAAATCTCAAACATTTTTCTATACGTAATGGGGAAGGATCATTTGTTTTCAATTTTTTGTCTAATGTCACAATGTACTTTTCATCATTAGATCGTGAGATAATATTAAAATATTGTAAATTTTAAGACATGATCTAATAGTAATTGGAAGTGTATTGGAATAAAAAAATTAATGAATTTAGTAACAAAAATCCCATGTCATACATGCATAGGATGACGGTTTTCAAAAAAAAAATAAAAAAATACATGCATAGGACGAAATTATCAAAATATTGTAAATCTTAAGACATAATCTAATAGTAATTGGAAGTGTATTGGAACAAAAAAATAAATGAATTTAGGAACAAAAAACCAATGTCATACATGCATAGGATGAAATGGGCGGAAGCACCAATTAGACAAACATGACACTTCGGAAATATCTAATACACATTGTTGTAAAGTTAAATTACAAATTAGTTTACTATTTGACTTAAGTTTTTTAATTGAGCTACTAATTGATTAAAGTTAGAAATTAAGTTAAAATTTAACCCCCCCAAAAAAAAAACCGTATTAATAGAGGGAAGAGAGTTGATAAGAGCAAAAAAAGGGTAGTTTGGTCATACGGTATTTGTCGTGTTAACATTGTAGTTCAAAGTTGACTTCTTACCTATTATTCAAACAACGCTGCTCCAGACCCCCAGCACCCCGCCACCCCCACGTGGGTGTCTGTGAGAGGAAGACCCACAAAAAAAATAAAATAAAATAAAATTTCAGCCAATCAAAAATCAATGGAGGTGGTGGGGTGGTGGAGATCACCCCACTGGGGGTCTAAGTTATTTTCCTTATTCAAATACAATGCGGTGAAGTGCAAATTGTCCAAACTAAATGGAATAAATGAATTTTGTCCCCGTATAAACAATATTTCTCTTGCATAATATTATTTAACGAGTTATATAAAAAAATAAATAAATAAATTATGAGTAGAACAAGATGAGTCATCTTTCTTTGATAGTTAAGAGATAAGAGATCATAAATTTGGGTAAGAATTTGAGAGGAGAAAAAAAAAATGACAAAAAAATTTAATATATATTAATTCACATTTTATTTTTCTTTTTAAATTTCTAATCAAATCATACACTAAAATAATCTTAGAAAAAATTATTAATAAATTCCATTTGAAGAA